TATTTTAATTTCATATTACAGTTTTTATTCCAATTTTTACTATGATATTTGTAATTTGTTTTCTACACTCAATAATAATTTTTATAAAAAAAAAATTGTTATTGATGAAATAAAAAAATGAAATGAAAAATGAAATGAAAAATGAATTGATAAAATAAAAATTGTACCTGTAATGCTGTATTAGATTCAAAATTATATGCCGAAGGTCGTCCTTCTAAAGTAGAATACGCGACAGCACCTTTCGTCAAAGGTGATATATCAGAATAGATAGAAGTACATAATACTCTGGTATCATCACCTCGTACTGTTTCCTTTGAATCCGGTAAATCATACATATCTCTACAACTCGCAGAATAAAATTGATAAGGTTCCCATGGCGAATTTTCATTTTTTCTCTTATAGATACCCCAACTTTCTGGACGCGGAGACTCAAAAAGCACTCTAACATATGTTATATCGAACGTTTTGCCTATAATTAATAATTATTAAAAAGCATATGTATATATGTAAAAAAAAAGGATAATAAAAAAAAATATAAATTATCAATTTAATAAAAATTGACACATATAATATAAATAAATATTTAATTTTTTAGAGATAAAATAAATTAAAATTTTTTATGATATAAATAGATATAAAAAATATTTAAAAAAAGTTATTTATTATAAATTATGATTTGAAATTATTAAAAAATAAAGATTCTACGCCATTGTAATTCTTCACTATAGCTAGCGGGATGCAAGTGGCTTTCTTTCTAAATGAACATATGGTACACAGGCAAAGATTCTATGTTCTTCTCATTTTTAAGAATCTTTTACTATTATCTGAATTCTCGGAATGATGTTAGAATTAGCTTCGTTATGTATATAGGATAAAATTATTTTATGAATCACAATTATTAATTTTATCTGTATAAAAAGAATACTTTTATTATAATAATAATAATAAAATAAAATTTTATAATATTTTTTATATTCATTAATTCTTCGATAAAGATAAATAATTATTTTATTATTTTATGTCAAATAATAAATATATTATTATATATGATTTTATTACACGATTTATTTGAATAAAAATATTATTTTCCTAAAATATATGATATTTTTGTAAATAATTTTGTATAATTTTTCCATCAGTTTGTAGTTCCGTATTTATAGTTATCATCGAGAATTATCTCATCGTACACGCATCCTGATAGATAACAATATAAAATGAAAGAATAAAAATAAAGAAGAAGAAAGCGAAAAATATTGAAAATATATTAAATTTATACTGTGAAATGAACTGATAAATGAATTCTATTTTTCTATTTATAATATAAGTTTCATAAATATTATCTATTTCAATTCCACGAAAAATTATCTCAATTAATATGAATATTGCCATATTTAAATTCAAACAAAATATAAAATATATTTTATACATTGTATAAATGTAAAAATACATATAAAATTGTAACATTTAATATAAAATATGCAACATTTTTATATCATACCCAATGGTAATGTGAGATTAACTTGATTCGGATATTGAATTCCTTCATACATTGTTTCTGATTGCCACCAAGTTGCATTGTCATTATTGTCATAATCGGTAAGAAACGAAGCTAAATGATCTCCGTATCGGCAAATTTCACAGGACTTTCTTTGGACACCAGTTTGTTTACAAAATTCTGTTTGTCGATCTTGGCCACATGTATTTGTTGCTTCCATAAGAACATTAAATGCTGCATTTTCAAAAGGTGGTATACACCTCTACAACACGTGTTCAAAATAATATTTAATAGAATTATAAATTTTTATTACAAAATTTAAAATATTTTTTTTCGCAATGTTCAAAAATTATATCAATAATTAATACTTTTTTTCACTATATATATTTTTTTCATTTTTTTTCTTTTTTTTTAAATTAAAATTTGAATATTTTAAATTAAACATAATATTTATATTAAATGCTAGTAAAATGGTAGACAAAAATGTTATAGGATCGACCAAGATACTAATATTTATCAGATTATTTTCGTCCCGGATATATATAACATATTTCCTACAAAATTGTAATATCTGAACAAAAAAAATTTACTTAAATTTCGATTTTTTAAAAAATTAAAATTGAAATTAAAATTAAAATTAAAATTAAAAAAATAAAAAAAAAAGAATTAAAAAAGTAAAATTAGAAAAATAAAAATTAGAATTTTATTAAATCCTTTAATATTCAGAGCGATTATTTAGTTATATTTATTTATAGTTATCGAAAATTGATGTAATTTCGAATCTTTAAAATGATAACCTAATGTAATAACATCTTCAAAAAAAAAATTAAAATTTTAATGATTAAAAAACAAAATAACTAAATCTGTTCATGCTTATTATATTTTTATGAAATAATATAAATATAAAATAATATAACTGTGAAAGATAATGTATATTCTTTTGAAAAAAGTAAAAAATAAATTAAAAAATTATTATTAAATTAATAAAAAATAATTATGTAATAATTAAATATAATGTAATTTAGATATACTAAATATTATTATTTTTATAAATCGAAATTAAATAAAAAAATATTATTTTAATTATATAAATATTATAAAAAAAGAAAAAATAAATTAATAATTTATTAATAAAAAAAATAAATTATTTTAATACTTATATTTATGTAAATATAATAAATAAAATTACGAACCTGTGCTCTTCCATTGTCATCATAGCATTTGTCTTCATCACGATTTTTTGAAAATCGACTATAAAAAAGTTCATCTAAAGGATCAGGTTCCGCAAATACTGCTATCAAGCAGATTGCAAGTAAAATTAATATTTTCTTGTGCCTTCCTCTATTCATATTTGAACTTCTTTAGATGAGTTTTTTTTATAATTTTTTTAATAATTTTAAATGAAAACTCTGAAATCTTTTCTTGAATTTTTTAAAGGTCAAAATATACACTAATTTTCGACTGAGTTCATTTACAAGGAAAGTTTCAACAATAATTTTTACTTTTCACTGTCGCGATTGCATTCCGCAATCTTCCGTTTTCCTCGCCTTCCTACCTAATATTTGTTAATTTCAATATTAATTAATCTTTTGATTTTCTATACTAAATTTACTAAATTTAATATAAGAAAATATATACATTTAATTTTTACAAAAAATTAAAATGAAAATATTAGTATAATTACATAGAAAAATAGAAAAATTGAACATAATCGTGTTTTCAAATTTATAAATTATTTCACAATGAAAAATTATCAAAATTATAATTTAAATATAAAAATCACAATTTATAATTTAAAATAAAATCATATATGTACATAAAATATATTACTATATAAAATGTTATTGTAAAGTTTATGTTTCTATATATATTTTTCATTAATCTTATAAAATAATTTTTAATTTAAATTAAAATTCTGCAATTGAATTAGTAACATTTCAAATAAAATAATTAAATATTAATTTATATATATATTCTATTTTATTAATTTTATATTATATTCTATTATTTAATAAATTATTTTGCATTTAATATTGTTTCTTTCTTAAAATCTATTCTTTTTTATCTAAAATTTTCAAAATTTTGAAGAATAAGAATAATAATTATATGCATATTTCTTTTTATATATTTTGGTACATAAATCACAAATCGCAATTTCAATAAATATTTATAAGTTATAATTTAGAAAATAAACAATGTCAGTTTAAAGAAGTATGTAACCAAACAAATAATTTTTTATTTCTTATTAAAATAAAGATTTGAATTAATTAATATAATATTATATTAATTAATATTCACAAAATTATATGAAACACAAATTGACCGTGAATTCACTTCTTTTTCAATAAAAAAATTCACACAAGTATCACGAATTTTTAAAATGAACAATAAATTTTCATTCTAACCTCTTCAACTGATAGAAGATTGGTAAATCATAAGAAAACTTCTTTCTCTGCAAGAGTTTAGCGAGATACTGAACGAGAGTTATATCGTATCGTACCGTTGTCGTAGACATGAGGAGGGAATTGTATATGCCGAATACTTAGTAGTGGTAACATGCTGTAGGAAGTGTAGGCTAAAAGAAATGTAACGATGAGATTGTTTATACATTTTATATTTCATTACTAGCAATAATATGTATGAATGTACATATTTATGTTTTTTAAAATTTTAATTTTAAAAGAAAAAAATACTTTAAAAATTTGAAAAACATTTTCTTGATATGTTTATGAACACAGTAAATAAATAATACAATAAAAAAAATCTTGAAATAATTTAAAATCTAAAATTAAGCATTGTTTAATGGATTTTTATTTTCGTGAATTGAGAACTGAAATTATTTTAGAATTATATTATTTTAGTAGAATTCATGATCAGTAATATCTTGCTAGAACGGAAGTAAAAAGATTAGAAAACGATGACTTCTTCCTATCATTATCAACAATACAATAAAATACTTTAAATATTCTCACTTCATTTTGTTTTTATCTAGTTTTTAAATAAAATATGTTAAAATAAATAAAATACAAAAATGAATAAAATATAGAGAGCATTATATAAAAATATAAATAATTTTAAAATATATTTTTAAAATTATTTTATGTTTATTATGAAATAGTAATAATATCACATTAAAAATTCATTATTTTATGTCATTTCATATCAACAAATATATAAATTATTATTAATATTTATAAAAATATATATATAGTATTAGTTATTGCTTATTGTAGATATATTTGTCAAAAATTTGTCAAAAATTGTTATTATATCCTTACATTTTTATTGTAATTTAAATATATATTGCGTAAAGGATACATTATAAAATTATGATATATTTTTCCGTTTATCTTATTATTTATATATATAACAATATTAAATCTTTTAATTTTAATTTAATAAAATATATTTATAATTTTATTAATTTTAATAAAATATAATATAGAGTATTATATAATCGGTACTTAATTTCATTGTTAAATAAACATATTGGAAATATTTATAATCTTCTGTTTTTTTTTTGTTATAATCTTACCTATAAATTTATTTTTTGTTAAAATATGAATCTTATGATTTATAAAATACTATATTTTCAATTTTTATTTGACTATATTATGTACATTACATATCTTTATCTAAAAGTGTGGAAAGATGTACTTTCAAATCTCGAAGATTTCTAAATACATCCTTCGTAGGGACTTTTTTTTCATCTATAACATCATTATTATGTTGAACAAGAATAGCATTCCAGTTAGCATTTTTCGCTCCGATATAATCGTTACTAATAGAATCACCAATATGTATCGCTTGTTGGGGAATTATGTTAATATTATGTCGTTCTTTTGTTAATCTAAGAGCTTCATTAAATATTAAAGTATCTGGTTTCTCAATACCGAAATCATAAGATGTTAAAACGAAAGAAAAATAAAAACGTATTCTCGTGTCTTTAAGTACCGCTTCCAATCTCTCATCGAAATTTGATATTACACCCAAAATCAAGTCCTTTTCTCGTAGATATTCCAGTAATTCGATTGTGCCAGGATATTTATGCCAACATAAGCTCGTACCATAGCACTTTATCAAACTGTTAGCAACCTACGGGTCATAATGATAAAAAAGGTCATCGACAGTAGGTATGAGTTTAGGTTAGATTTTTTTCGGTAATTATTTTTCTTTTTCTAATAATACTTCCTGTATTTTATAATCTTTGTATCTTTTTTATATTAACATAAAAATTCAAAAATTAAATTGATAAAAATAAAAATTTCAATTATCGTAAATATAAAATTGGTATAAAAGAAAAAATATGTAATGATAAAATATAGATAATTTATACTCACTTTAAAAATTAAATTAAAACAATTGTTAAGTTTAATTTATCTCTAAAAATAATAATTTTATTTCTAAATCATTTCATAAATACCATTGATCATATATTGATATAACTAAAGGTTTTATATAAAAATATAAAAATAATTCTTTGTTAAATAAAAATATCAGATTTTATTTTATTCATTTCATTATAGATTCTAAATTTTCAACATCGTGAAAATTTTTATCACCTTATCCAAAGTAGCATCCGAAATGTAATTGTGTTGCTCTTTGAAAATATTATGAACTATTTGTCTCCACCAATTTTTCCATCCAATGCCTGTGTGTTTACCATAAACAGGATGTTCTAGACTAAGTTTACGAAAGTTGTTTTTGAAGCTTCGCGCCAATTTATGTGGATCAATTGACAGGCCGTGTTGAGAACCAATTTCGGCATAATGTTTCTCCAAATTTGTCATCAGTAACGTATCAGTAACATCAAATGTTATTAATCGCGGTCGGGTGAACTTTATCATTATTAAATTTTGTCTACAAAGAAATATCAAATATTTAGAACACTATTTTTGTCATATAATATACGACGAAAAAAATACACTTGTTTCACGTCGTGAACAGTACTACCAATCGATCTCATATGGAGAAAGATTTTTTTATATTTTTAACGCTATCATAAGATAACAATTTCAAATTTATTTTCATATATAAAAATATTGATACTAGTTCAAATTATTTTGCGTTATTATTTTATTTTATTATTTTAATACTAAATATAATTAAATATTTTTTGATATAATATAAAATTAATAATAGAAATTTATTCTTACTTACTATTTAAATTTATTTTTAATAAAATAACCAGTTGAAGAAATATGAACTGAAAGATGATCACATTAGAGAAACTTGTGCATCTCATTTCAAAAGAATAAAAATATGACGACTATTCTCACGCCGTCAACACGTGACATTTCTGTGAAAAACATGTGAATGATGTTACAATTATATAGAATCTTTTTAATTAGAATTAATGAGAATAATTTATATTTAATTTTTTTTCAATTACCAAAATATTGTATATATATTTATATATTATAAAAAATAATTATTTATACATCAAATTTTTGTTTAAATCTGAAAAATTAAAATAAATACAAGTATTAATCATAAACATTAGATTATATATTTGAAACTAATAGTATACAAAAATGGATAAGTAACTTCTATATAAAATTTTGAATTGTTAAATATTTTAATGTCGGCAAATAAACTATCAATATCAAAAAATTATAAAGATTCATATGTTGTGTAAATTTAATTGAAAAATTCAAGACAAATTCTATGAATTTTATATACAATATTTTAATCAATATTTAACAATTGGAATAAGTACATAATTTCTCGCATGACCTATTTATCACGTAATAGATAAAAATGTTCATTCGGTATGCGACGTACACAAGCATTATTTTGTAATATATGTGTAAATATATATAACATGTATTATATATATACATATATCGTAAATAAAATGTAAAAAAATTTAATTATCTTTATATACAGTTTTACCTATTTATATTATACGTATATATATATATAAATGTAAATATATATAAATTATAAAACATTACTATTTAATGTCTCTAAGAATAATAACACGTGCTTCTTATATTCTCTATTAATATATGTATATCAAAAAATGCAAGATCTTATTGCGTTCACTTACATTTAATTCCTATTCATGAAAAAAATATCCAGGAGAAATTTGGTTATATATGATGGCTTTTTACGCCAGTAAAATCTAGTTATTGCAAATTGTTCTTGTTGCATTATAAAATTGTATTTGTTCGATTTTGATTCCATAGTTTGAAAACTTATTTATAATTATAATAATTACAAGAAAATTATGAGAACATTTAATCGATATTCCTATCTTATTCATATGATCGATAAAAAATTATTGACTCAAAAATAATATTATAGAACTTAAAAAGAATTTTGAACATAATTCGGTAGAGCAGGGCTTCTCAAATTTCCTGCACTTAGCATTATATTTGATATTTATTCAAATTTTATTTTTTTTGTATTTTTTCAAATTATAAATTTTTATTATTCGTCTAATCTTTCTTTTTTATTAAGATATGGATACAAAGAATTTCTACAAAAAACTATTAATATGGATTTACATATATATATATATATATATATATATATATATATATATAATATTCGAGTAAGCATTTTGCACTTTTATTCGATACTCATTTTGTTTTTTTTTTTTTCTAGATTTTACTCAATCTTAAAAATATTCTTCACTACACCATTGTAATTGCACTTTTATGATTTTCTTTATTATTTTTTTTAATTGTATAGTATAAAGTAAAAACCTTCGTAATTTATCAGTCAAATTTATATTATTTAATTCTATAATCTTATTTCTATATAAAAACATTTTATGAAGAATTAAAAAGCTGCTCGAATTAATCTCATAAGATCGCTTTTCAATAAAGATCTTCCAATATTTCAAATGCAAAATGCTTTAATTTTAATTTCTTAATTTTCTACTTTTTAAATTTTTCAATCGTTTCACGAACTTTATATTTGTTCGATTCACTTTGAGAATCCCCGCAATAGCGAACTCTCACTTACAATCATTTGAACAGCTTGCTGAAGATTTTTTAAAAGACAATTTAAATACGTCTGACTAATCATCACAGTAGAACAGTAAAGATGTAATTAATAGTATAATAATATAATAATAATAATAATAGTAGTAGTAATAATAATAATAATAATAATAATAATAATAATAATAATAATAATAATAATAATAA